ACTATACTTGTTCAGAACATATACATTCTTGCCTCATTAAAAATACTTCCCCCACCTTTCTGTTGTAGTTAATTGAATTGTTTTGATTTATCTGTCATATGGTGTAGGAGCTTATGTATTTAAATGCCCATTAATGCTGAAACTAAAACAACGCAATTGTATTTAATTTGGTTTAGGAAAAGTCTCTGGTGGGCTTTTAATGGGAGCGTACCTGTCCATGTTGTCAAGGACTATCACCTTTATTTCAATTCCCTGGCTTGTCTTTAAGGGAGTGATCTGTTTACCTGTCTGTGTAGGGCAGGTCTGTTTTCTGCCTATCTTTAGAACTGTATTCTTATCTTGTTCTTATTCTGCACGTCTGTAAACTAAACAGCTCATCTGTTTGCCCGTCTCTCTATTTGTCAACTTGTCTGTTTGTGACCCATCCGCCTCACAGCAATGACTTCCATTAAACACTGCATGAAACACAGCTTTTTCATTGTTGCTCAAAAGAACGCTCGTCTGTCAGGTTTTCAGGAGCTTTTATTAATTTCACTTGAGGGCAGGTTAAGGGGAAAGTGACGGCTGTTGGTGGTGGAGGTGACAACAAGGGGTTTCAAATGGGGAGACAAGGACTTGTGGCAGGAAGTAGAGGCATTGTGATCACCAACCTCCCCTCAGTCAATCCCTGTAATAAGCACACCTTCAGGTACCAGTTTCAAAATCAGAAAAGAAGGTAAATTGGACTGTCTTTTGTCCTGTGTTTCTGTACTTGACAGTGACATTTTCCGAACAGTAAATGTGTTCAGCATCTCTTCGGTTTGTCACACAATACACAAAGGAAACTACTGATTGACAGAGGATGCCTCAGCCCAATGCATTAACATTTCCTTCTCCATCTGTTTTTAATCAGCCTCTCTTTTCCCCCTTTTCCCCTTTTAATAAAAAGCTGTTTTTCTTTGGGTGTTAAAGATTTCCATAGAGAACACTAGAGACAAAATATGTGTGCTACAGATATTTAAAAAAGATGGATTAGTGGAGATGAGTGCAAAATGTCTCTGCTGCACCAGATTTCAAATACAAATCGGGGTTCTCCTCACTCTGAGACCTGATCCAGAGCCAGAAACCTGATCCAAAAGCCAGAATCTGCCCAGTCCAACCTGTGTTTACTGAATAAGATCAAAGGTTTTGCTCAGTCTTTGTGACTCAAACAAGCTGGCAAGGTGAGAGATGCAAGATACATTTGATTTGCTGTGACAGCGCAAAGGATGATTCATTGATGATGTTCTTGAAGTGCAAGAGCCCACAGAGGTACATCACATCTCCTCAGTTTGTGTCCAACAACATCAAAGCCTTTTCCTCCTCACAGGGATGCCTCAACTGTGAATTAATTTAGCGACAAGGGGAAAAGGAAAGGTTCTCTCACAATAAAATTCACTGAAGCGTAATGTGAAAACAAGGTGCCATACTGGAAACGGTGTCAAACTGTGCTGCAAAACACACATTTCATTGATTGTGTTTTTGCTTGCAACCGAAGTTAGAATTTCAAAGGGAATTGGGAAAATTTAGGAACTGAGAAGTCGTGGTGAGAGTACATTTGCTTACAGGTTGTTCGCCACCAACAAAACAAAAAATGATTTTTTATTAATATCTCTAAAAAAAAACACAAATGGATCCACTGTGCACTGACAAATGGTGTGGTGAGATAATATTAGTATACTTTGCAACACCTACATGTGAGACAGGGTTATAAGGTTGTCATGTGTTGGTGTGCCAGGCTGTGGTTGCTCAGTTGTACTAGGTGCCATTTTAATTTTATCCAGACTGATGGTGCCTCCAAATGGAGCCATTATTACAGTGCTAATGAGTCCAAATGAATGTCCAACTCGGTAGTCATTAATTTCAAATGAGATGAACCAGAGATTTTCTGATAGCTCTTAAGTTAATATTTTCTGATGTTTCTAAATTGGCAGAGCCCTACTCTTTTCATATTCCTCAGCATGGTTCACAAATTTTCAATAGACAATGAAGTGAACTCTTGCAGTGTCCACTTGAAGGACAGGCACATCACATACTCAACTATCCATATCAAAAGCAGTTCAGCAAGTCCCATTTCAAGCCAGCATGATCTCTAAGGTTTATATATGAGGAAAGGCCTTTATTATTTGCAGCCAGGTGGTATATTGTAATGACACCGGTTACAGCAGAGTAGTCAAACAACAGCCTAATTAAAATCAACCATCGAAGCAAATCACTGCCAGGATGTTTTCGCCTATAATAAGGTGTCACTGACCATAACCCAGTGCTTGATGATAGACAGATTGTGTACACAAAAGGTCAGTACATGCAATATAAGGAAAAGACTCAAATCAATAAGGATTTAAATGAGATTAGTAATTAGTAAAGGTAGATTATCTTTGCTTTGGTGGAACAAATCAATCCGTGCTTTACATGTTATTCTTGCAAAGGCAATTTCAGTAAAAGCTACTTTTATTAGACATATTTATTTGGGACTTTGTCCATTTAAAGTATATTCTAAATAGGATTTATCGCTTCTTTTGTGTTCTTAATCGTTTGAATCTGGTGACGTTTTAAAGGATCTGACTGTAGAGGGGGAATTACGGCCACACTGTATTTCATCGCCACAGCACTTTAATTATGACTTGCAGAAAACCACTTTCTTTACTACATATATTTTGAACAATTCCTACTGTATGACATGGAACTTCTCATTTATGCAAGAAGGGGAGGGGAAAACACTTTAGTTGAACTGCTCACAACTCATAGATATTAGAGACAAGGAGTCGCATGGAAGTTGCTTCATTTTAGAGGAAATGAGCCAGTTGGGTACCAGTGGTTTTAAATGTTCAAAGGACAATCCCAATTAAAGAATATTAAGAACAAATTTGAACATTTCCTCGCAAGAAACATTAAAGTTGTAAAGGCATAAATCTAAGGTTATTTTTAGGACACCTTCAAAGCTCAGTTACAATCAAATCCAGCTTTGATGCAGAAGCACAGAGTGTATTTTGGTGGGATTTCTGTATGTGAACAGAGAAACCCGTGATTCTGCCATGCGTAGGAATCTGTCTAAATTCACCGGGCACAGTTTATTGACTCTAGGAGAACTAGATTTTTGATTAAAACAATTCAAACTGCAATAAGAGAGTGCAAAAAAGGAAGAGAAAAAACAGTCTCATTCACTTTGCCAAGTCCCGATTTTACAAATGATTAGATTCCAAGAGCATGCATAATTTCTAAGCAAACTGCCCTAACAAAATATAATTTGCAATTAATTATATTAAAGCAGAGAAAGGATTAGGGTTACAGGTTAAGTTAAACTCATTTAAGTATTGCCTTTTCAAAGACAAAAAAGCCCTGTCTATCTAAGGGGAAGCAGGTCATTTTAAACACCCAGAGTTAATCTAATTCTACAAAATTTAATCTGTGTGAACTTTCTGCTTTGTTAAATTTGATTTTGATTTGCCCTTTGCTACATAAGTAAGCAATTGGGAAAATGAGGTTGTATAACTCAAAAGTTATGGAGGCACAAAACAATTTAAAAGCATTAGTTTGTTTACAGTGTTCAGGGGTAAACCAATTAAACATTTAATTTAATCATCTACATTTCATGGATTTAGCTTTACTTTCTTATCCAAAGCAGCATGCAACAAGTGAGCTGGTAGGTGTCTAATTAAAATAAGTATTTTTTCATATCTTTATGCCATAAAAACATAAATGTCTGTTACCAACAGTGTATAATTGTCTATAACTTCAGAAAAAGTCCATTCCAGCAACACTTGTAGTAAATAGATCAACTTTACTGTTAGACCAACGCATTTCAGCTTGTGGAACACTTTACAAACGACATTTAAATACAGTAGACATGAAGCAGAAAGCAATTTAAAAAGTGTAAAACAAATATTAAAATGAACCAATAATGTACCCTATGTAAAGGTTGTTCGTGATGTGTTTCATGCTGACCCTGATCAAGGCCACAAGCCAAAACACATACCTAAAACAATAAAGTTGATCTTTTTATTATCACAGCTTGTGTTTTAGGGTTACAGACACCTGATATCTTATAGATTAATAATAGCTGCATTCTATTCACAGTGTGTCACTGTGCCCAAGCTGTGGGTTGTGTGCTAGAAAACAATGAAAAATATTTCAATGAAACAGTCACTAGTTATTTATTTTTTGATTCATCAGTAACAACCTGTGTATTTCCTGGAAGGCCAAATCAGATCTGTCGTGAGAAACGTCTATTATTATTATTATGCATTCTTCAAAGACTCAATGCTGATGCTTGCTTTAACAAGTGCCTGTCCTATTTGTTCATACGAAAACCTATACGAAAATTCCACCAGTTCAACTCAAGCCTTGGTTACTTACTTTTTTAACAGTGGAATATCCTACCTTTTAGACCATTACTGTACTGTCTTCTTCACTGGCAATTGTACAAAACCATATCAATAAACTATTTGTTCATCAATTCTGCATTTTTTAAAAATACAGATACTGTGTCTGCATGTGAGGTTTATATCAAGGCACAACAAGGGACGTCTCTCAGCTAATTTTTAATCACTACTAATACTAATATAACTGCAATCAGAACACAGATTACATAGCTATTCATACTTTTATTCATTCAGCTGCTTGTTTCATAAACTGTGATAATGCAGGAGCCGACATTAAGTTGTTTCAGCCTCTACATAAAAAAATGTTCTAAACTAGATAAACACATCTCAGACATCAAGTGTATATAATCATATTCTTTCACTTTCTGTCTTATGCGGTCTTGGCAATTTCCAGTAACTGCAGAAACCAGAAAGACAAGCGGAGAGAAAGAGAGAGAGAGAGAGAGAGAGAGAGAGAGAGAGAGAGAGAGAAAGAGAGAGAGAGAGACTCAAGGTGTAAAAGGGAGGAGGAAAAGGGAAGTTAAGAGTCTAGAGTGAGAATGCAAGTGGGCGGAACATACAGAAAGCAGAAAAACAGGAACAAGGTGATAACATATGCCAAAGTACACCTGCACACCTGAGTAATGCCACTCCTTTCCCAGGGCACAGCAGAGATGGTTAAGGAGTGGAGGCAGGGACACTCAATGAAACCCAACACTTTAATATTTAACTGCCCTTTCGACATTGACTCTGGTTTTGTTCGGAAGGATTTCAGAGATTAGACAGTGTTGTTTTGTTTTGTTTTTTTGTGGTGTGTATTATACTTTTCTTTTTGTTCAGAATTCACAACTGGTGGCAGCAACTTCCCGTTAGGACTCGACGTATTTTTGGTGACCCACATATCCAATGACGATGTGGTCTATGAAGGTCATCATCCTCCTCCTGTTCTGCTACGGTGAGTACAGGGGAGCTAACATGGATCTCTTTTTTTGTTGATAACAGGCAGTCAAACATTTATTGGACCATTTTTTCGACAAAGTAGTACTAATAGGAGAAATAAATAATAACACCAATTCAATAAAGCCTCGTCATGTATATTTGACAGAGAGTGATTCCTTCTCGTTTGAAATGGAGAGTCCCATAACACAAGTCGTTTTAAATGATAGTGATCGATGGGAAATGCTATTCCATTTTAGCGTCTGGCTGATGTAATATTGACTATATCATTGTACAGCTTATAAAAATGCTAATTTTGAATGACCTACTCTGTGTGTAATTTTCAACCTCGTGTCTTTCACATTTTCAATAAACTACATGGGCTATAATATTAAACAGTAACATACTATATGGTAAATCACTGAGGCGTATATGGATCAACAGTAGGAAAATTTGGTCTGTGACTGTTCAAGCTATTACAATATACAAAACCATAATGCTCACACTAAAAGAACGTGTTCTGTATCCTTTTCCTGTATGAAAGATGAGATCATTTTCTTGTGTCAAAATGGTGAAAGGCCGCATAGCTTTTAGTTTCAGTCACCAGCAGAAACAAAGTCCATCTTACACAATCTTCCTGTGGTCTTGGATCCAGTGTATATCTGCTGTGTCACTCAGGCCTTAGCAGCTATGCTATAAAAATTGAGTGCCTGTGCCTCTATCTTCTTCATATAAGGGGGAGCTGTATTGAGTAAGGATGCTAGGGCTTGAACGGCTTTACAGCATGTGCTGTGATTGAAAAGTTGGGCTGCAACATAGATAAAAGAGATGTAATCTGAGTACTAAATGCTGTCTACAGCTTGTGCTACGGTAGAGAATAGTGTCCTTACTTACCTGCAATTTAACACAAAGTAGCTACAAAATTAAAAAAAAGCAGATATACTATATTATAAAAGTGATATTACATTAGCATTTGGATTTTTGAACCAGGTTGAACACAGCATTAGAATCTACGTTACACCGACTTTTCTCTTTTGCCCAACAGCTTCTCTTTCAACTGGCAACAGTAAAGTATATTTTGTCTCCAAGAACTTTAACAACGTACTCCACTGGGATGCTGTGGAGTCTGGGGCAAATGTCACCTATAGCGTCCAGTACTTGAGGTAAGACCCACATGAGTGATTATAATTACACCTTTACTTCAATTGCACACCTTTGTGTCTCTATGTACAGATCCATAAGGAGAGGTAGGTCAAAGCAGAAAAGGAGTGTGTGCGCAGAGTAAACACTCATAATGTCAGTGTATGTAGATTGGTAACAAATTAGTACATTGAGTACAACCCTGGTCACCAGATGGTCTGTGCTGATCTATGTGTGGAGAATACAGTATTCGGACACATTGGATGTAACTACAATAAAAAAAATCAACACTATCAAATTATAATGAAATCTCCTGCTCACAAATATTATTATTTAAGGGAAATGATAAGTCTGGTGATATTCTTTAGTTTTCTTATTGTCAACAAATTCTATGGAAAGACAATTATTAACAAGTACTGACTTACTCCATTATCATCATAAAACTATGAGAAACATAAATGAACCACATTGTTGCACCGTTTGACATGTTCCTTGAATATAATGAACATGGACACTTGCTGCCAGTGTAACTGGGTGCTCAGCTGTTTAAAGAAATTACTGAGCCTTTAAAAAAAAAAGAAAACATATATTTACAAACTGTTGTGATCTTAGATTGAGATTTTGCTTCAGTAGGAACAAGTAGATTTGGGGTTGACAGCCACATATCTCAATACTGACTTTCCCTACTTAGTGCATTGTTGGCTTTGTTCTTTCAATGAGATATGTTTAAAATGACAGAGAAAAACAGAGAAAATAGGCAGCCTTATCCTTTAGGATTTAGGAATTATATTTCATGTGGTAGCAACTAATTTCTTCCCTGGCTTCTCTTTGCAGCCTATTGTCCCTCTCTCTTCTAGAAATGGCTAGCGGCTTTATAAATGTTTTGCTCAAAACTTACCATGCAGCTATTGAAGTGTACCACGCTGTTGCTTGGATTCAATTCTACTGCAAACGGCTTAGAAGCAACACTAAAGAAAGGCTGTAGGGCCCATTCTCCAGTCATTAGCATGGACTGCTCCCTGCTCTCCTCATTGAAAGGAGAGGGGATGCTCATAGTCTACTTTCATGGCGTACAAGAAGAATTTCTTTTCACTCAGTTTCTACAAATGGAAATGTCATCTCGTCTAATTACTCATGACGCAGTCTCCCAGACAAATGTCAAGTGCAACCCCTATCCTATTGACTTTTTCCCCCCGCCAGTGTCACCTGAAATTGCTGGAGTGACTTCCAGCATCAAATCAGCTGCAAAGGAAGAAAGGTTTAACTATGCCCGCTCAATATGAGTTCGTTGTTAAAGCGAACTGCTGTCATCCGTCTCCTTCAAAAAAGGCACTGTGTGTTCAAATGATGAATGAATGAACGGGTTAAGGTGATCTTTTTGTGGTAATTTCGCCGTATCCATCTACTGCACAAAACTGTCTCAGTGCCTGAATGTACCTTGTCAGAATTTCAAGTTTCTGCTTAATAATGTTTATTTTTAGAAGTCCATGACTCAAACTAGTGAATGGACAACTTTATCAAATGGTTAATATGTTCAGGGAATTAAACACACAGCACATTTTTGGTTTTCATACAGTACCAGTGAACAATAATACACTGCCTTGTTCATGTGCTTCCAGTATCACAGTTTGATCACATTGTATTGCACTTTTTACAGTGATGCTAAGGACCAGCCATTCCAGATAAAAGAGGAGTGTCAGAACATTACAGCTCTGTCCTGTGACCTGACTGCAGAAACCCCATCAGCCCATGACGTTAACTACATTGCTCAGGTGTTCGTTAATGGAAGCATTTATGGCAAAACCATCAGATTTAACCCTTTAGCAGAAAGTAAGAATCTTCCCACTTATTCATGCATTTCTTTGTTTCCTTCAAGCCAAATGTATTATGTTGCAACACTTATTCATTCATCTTTCTTTGTCTCCATAGCTATTTTTGGTCCACCTATCTTGTCTACATACGCAACAGTTTCATCCTTGCATGTGGATGCCACTCTACCCTTGGGGCCAAACGGAGTCGCAGTTGAGGACATCATTAACAAAAGCAAACATGGGCCCTCCACAACCGTCATTGTTTACACCTTAAAAATCACACAACCAAAGTGGGCCGTACAGGTCAGTCTCCATTTAAAATAATGCAATGGATTGTATAAATATTCAGTCATAGAATTATACAAACCCTGACATATGACATAACAGAACAAGTAAAATCAAAGCTATGAACTGATTGGGTTTCTGTAGTCAGGTATAAGACTAGAAGACATTTTTGTATCACCACCAAAACGCACACACGATAGGAGCCAGGTACTGCTTCCATATTCATATTCATTCACAAAAAACAACTGCACGTAAGGTCTGGTTTTCAGATGCTGACAAACAGATAATTCAGTTTGATTTAATAATGTAAAAAAAACATTAATCTGCATATGTGAGCTCATTTAAATGGTAAAATATTCAAGGATTTGACCTTTTAACTGTCAAGTAAATGAGTCATCCACCTGCCTCCAGATTTTTATGTGGTCTTAAAGTGATTTCTATGTTCTCATTAAGCTGCAATGTTTCTGGATGTTCCAAAGTTTTCTTTGCAATGGATTAAAACCGATCTATTGTCATCCATATTACCAACTGTGTGTCTAGCACAATGAAAGCACAACTGGCCGGTTCGTCATCAACTTGAAAAACAACCAAACAGAGTACTGTGGCTACGTGGTCTACAAGCCTTTTTCTCGTTGGGGTCGCTCAGAGAGTGAGAAAGCCACCTTCTGTGCCACACTGCCAGGTGAGGACAATGCTGAATACAACTTCTCTTCTCGCACTTAGCAGAAGTGCACAATATGTTAATCAGCACATTAAAGTTAAAAAAATATGTTAGCAGCGTATGATATGCTCAATATTTAAGACACATTCCACGTGTAAATTAATTATTTGGTAACAAACGTTTTTTCTCATACACTCCATTTCAAAATCAGGTCCCAATTTTGAATCGATTCAGTTAATCAATAACTTCATTTGCATGTCTAACAACTTGACTGAAATGAGCATATTTACCTTTACAATATTTACAAATACTTTATTTCACTTGAGGCAATAGTGACACTCAACATCTTACTGGGAATCTTTCAAGGACCCACCTGCTGTGGAGGAAATGCAAAAATTAAGATACTTGAAGTGTTGCGTTTTCTACATTTTACTTGAAGTAGTTTGTACCCATCTCCACAGGTGATTGCAGCAACAACAATGTAGTGTTTAGTAATATATCAAGTTGGTTTGTTATAAATCAGTCCCTTTTTACATGCCTGCATCTGCATCTAGCTTTACTGTCATATTAGATACATATTGGTACTCGCAGCATTGTTCTTACTGTGAATCCATGCCTCTTAAAATCCTCATGTTAACTGTTGAATGATAGAGAAAATGAAATGATGAGCTTTCCCATGAAAAATGTTTGGGCTCCTCTCACTGTCATACTGATGAAACGGGAGATTAGATTACACAGTCTGATTGCAAAGATGGCGTTCTTCTCACCTTAGCTTGCCTTACTGTTTATTCTCTACTGCTAAAATTACATAACTGCTACTGCACTCATTGTTATGTTATGTTATGATGCGGGGGAAATCCACTTCTATAGGGTCTTGTGTAGATTTCTGCTCAGGTAAGTTCCTGTTAACCAATATTTCTGGGAAGTAACAGTAGTTATATATACTGGTACATCCAGGAATATAATGCATTCAACAGCCCTACGTCACAGACATGCCTAAGCAGGTGTGTCACAATGGGAATTTCTGTAACGCTTGATGGTATCTGATTTTACAAATGTGTAATTTTTCCCATGTCAGTCAATGACACCAATTGTCTTCTCCCTCAGGTGATCCTCTGATGCTTTTGCCATGGATTCTGATAAGTGCTGCACTTCTGGTGGCCATAGTCATAATGTCAGCATTGTATATATGCAACTATGTGAAGGGTGGAAAGGACAAGAGCATGCCGCAGCCATTGGTAAGACTAGTCTTTCTGCAGTGCCCTTTGGTGTGTCTGGGTTATGACGAGGAAATGTTGCCTTACTGGAAAGTCAAGCCCTTTGACACATTATTTACTGTACACATGTTCAGGGTACTTATGTGACAAAGTAATTAAAAGTAATTAAAGACAGTGAAACATTGTGGATGTTGTTGTGTAAAGTGACAGAGGGTTTTAGTGACTCGTGGTTCTTTCAGTGATGACAAATGTTAAAGTCTTGTGTGGTTCCATTTGACTTTGCCCTTTTTTGATAGATATTATAAAAAGCCAGCATATTTAGTTTTTCAATTGATCTTTAAACATGTGGTGCATTCCCACACATTACATATATATATCTCCATTATTATAATGGCCTGACAAGCTATTGATTCATCTACAGAAATGAGCACTTATTTGACTTTGATGGGTCTTTCTTCCTTATCTTCAAAGCACATACCCACTTCCAGCACCTCACCCGGAGTACTGCAGCTTCCAGATGGAAATCTCATAATTTCCAAACTGGTATTCTGCACTCAAGATGACCAACCAACAGTTTACGCAAAGATCCAAATGAAGCCAAATGCGCCCTCAGTTGGGGTTGGAGGTTATTCTCCCCAGGACATCCCCTGCCAATCCTGGCAAGGCAGCACTGGCTCCTCTGTGGGCACAGGTGCACACAGTCCAACACCAAATGCCGAGGACACGAGCTACAGTGTAGTGGCTGTCCAAGTCCCTGTTACAGAGAAATATTTCCAGCAGGCTACCACTAAAGACAGAGAAACCTGCAACCTTCCATTGTCTCCCAGTGGAGAAAGCTGGGATGAAGGTGGAATGAGTCCAAAGCTGACCTCAAATGGAGTACAACCATTACATGATGTGGACCCATGTGACAGGCCACTGCAGTTGCACACAGTGCGCGATCCCAACGGACAACTTATGTTGCCTTCACTCACTTTTCAGTTAGAGAACGACACAAGTTACACACAGAGAAGACCCCTTTTATCTGACCTCAGAGACTCCAAGAGGGAAAGGCCATCGTTAGTATCCTTGCAGAGCTTAGATGGCTCAGAGTGCTCAGACTCTGGGTGTGATGATAGCACCCCAACCCATCCGTACTGCAACACCAGTTATTCCCCAACCCAATCAGTTGTTCCTGATTTCGACAAGGGATGTCAGATACCATCTAGTGATGCAATATTTGAATCAGGTTACAAACAAAACTGGATGCCTGAAATCCATCTTGGCACTGCATCCAAAGACAGTTGTGAATACAGAAGGACAAACTATCCTTGGACCTGGTCTGGTCCCAAAAAGGAGGAAGGTGAGGACAGAGGAGGAGAGGAGAGCTCAAGGGAAATACTTCTGGGAAGATGGGGGGTTCAAATTCAAGAATAATTCTCTCTTTAAGACCTAAAACTACCACTACCAGGTGCTTAAGTGACAATACTCAGGTAGATGAATGGCTTTGCTGTCTGCTGTGTGGTTGATGATGCAGCGAGGTGTTTAAACTCACCTTAAACATCCAAATTTATTCTGAGTCTTATTTAATAACCACATTTCATTCCTAGATGTAATATATACGATGCTTTGCTTGTAAATCTGTTTATATTTATTAATCCACAATTGTAAAAAGTTATTTGTGTCAACTCGTACATTTGAAGAAATATATTTGTGAAGTCCTTGTTTACTTTGTCAAGTTATTGTTTAAGAAAATATCTAAATTTTTACAAACAGAATGTATTTCAAATAGGATCAAATGTGAAAGCTGAACCCATGGGGAACCTCTTTCACAACTGATATAATCTATTCTGGACTTGGTGCGTTTATGGTGTAAATGAATGATTTTGTGCCCAAATGTATGATAGGCAGCAAAAGGAATATAGCAACTATTTTACGTTTAAGTTCAAACTGTCCGTTAATCATAATACTTCAGTATATCTCAGTATATTCCACATCAACAATAATATTTTTTACATTGTTATGATTGTGTAAAGCTATGTTTGGACAGCTAAAATCTGATCTGAAAAAAAAAAAACATGATCACAGATATCATATTTATATTGTTAGTGGTTTGAAATACAGTTTACATTACTTTCTAAGTCCACTTATACTTAGTTTTAAGTCTGCATACCTGCAGCTGGACAAATAAAGGGTCTTCATCCTTTCTGTACAAAACAAGCAGAACAAACAACAACCGAAACAGCCACAGATTGTCAGCAAGTGCATTTGCGTGCCATCGCTATGACAACACGTTATTACAACTTATTACACTCTGTAAATACACAGACCCAATCTGGTCATTTTCAAATTACTATGTGGACAGTCAGCCTTAAAGATTAGATATGAAAACCTTGTGGCTGAACAAAGCATTAGACACAGTTTACTGTCACATTGTGAGTGAGCTGCTTGAAATGGGACAAAAATGACTGAATTTCTTCTATTTCTTTTAGGGAGAAAAAATCCTATTTTTTGATCTCACCAAGATATTTCTGCATCATCTGTGTTGTCTGAAATACGTGAGAACGATTGCATCTGCACATAAAAAGAAATGTGAGGTTTTATATTATTCTGACTCACAAAGTTTATGAACTCATTTGGTTCTCCTCATTGTTTGCTGTTCTTCCTGGGGAAGAAAATACAGTCTGTAAAAATATATTAGGTGGGGTCATGGTGCAACCTAAGCCACACTGATAACAGCTAGTTATTTAAAAGCCTGGGCAAAATCTTTCATACACAGTTGTAAAGTAATGATGTCATGTGTGTTGAAACAGTGCAATGTGAGTCACATATGGACACACTGTACAGCACAATACAGACGTATTTTACTTTATTGTAGTACCTGCCAAATGAATGTAATATAAATTAGCAACTTTGTTTCATCTTAAATTACAGATTGTGAAACTAAATATTTATGTTGGAAAGGTTGAGTTGCATTCCAAGATAGTATATTAAACATGTATTTGATACCAACATAGTCACTTTTGGGTTATATTACTGAAATTCAGAAAAAATATTATTAAAGAACCATTTTTTAAAAACTGATATTCTGTAACTCCCGCAATAAAAAATTTAAAGACTTTGTGTGTATTCATTGGCGTGGTTGAAGAACGTTGTAAAAGTATTTTGAACTCTTTGTCTTTTGAGTAATACATCTGTCATTCTTTCTCCAGGTGAGGTGAACAGAATATGCCAGAACAATAAACTTGAACTTGTATAACATTTTAGTAACTATACCCACTGCTGTATTAAAAAAATTAATGATCCTCGGTACATACTGCACACATTGGCTGTCTCAGACAATAAAGAGTTAAGGTGGATTGTGCAAAAGGATCCAAAGTACAACTCAACCTTAACAGCCTGCTGTTGTTAGGTAGTGTATGTTTTTAATCTAGGAATGAAGACAACAAAAAAGCCTTGTTTTTTGTGAATCTGACCACATGTCGACACTGAACAAATCTGGTGAACTGAATCAATTAGTTCTTTAAATTAACAGTGTGTACCGGTGTTTTTTTAAATAATTAGTAAGACCATTAAAAAAGGTCTACTAGGTGTGTTTGCAGATTTTCAAGGAAGGATAAAAGTAAAAATTCAGAGCAGCTTTTATATCCTGAAAGGGGATTTACCTTTCCTTTATTTTGCTTTCCTTTCCGAGCAGCTGAATGGGGAACTGACACCCCCCCCCATTTAACTGTCCAACAGAAAGAGGGAAGCAGTGTAGTTATCTGCATCCAGGGGACATATTCCAAGGAATAATATAAGCCTTGGGTGGATCTCTAGTTTAATACCCATTGTATGCTTTGTTATGTAACTGCTACCAGATACCCTAATGGAATATTTTACTGTACAAGACTGACACATATACTGGTAACAGGGAAGTAGTAACAGATATACCTCAATTTAATCACAATTACAGTGGAAACAACCTTGTCAGGGCCAATGTGAGCATATTTTGATTGATCATATCAGGTAAAATAAAGCCAATCAAGATCAGTTTTTTCCTTTCTCCAACGCTAATTATATCAGTTGTCACGAAAACCAAGATTTATAGCCAGGTTGCCTTGTAAAAATTGCTTTATCAAAGACCATTGCACATGCATAGAACAGGAGCACATAACCCAGACCACTGCACGAACGCAAATAATTAATAATGTCTGGTGATTCAGCCTTCACAGGTTAATGCTTGGATAAAAAACAAATTATCTTTTTAATCTACACATTCTGCTGCCACGTCGAAGATAAAGCCAGGTCTACAAGATTTAGACAGCCACCTTACGAGGGGTTCTTCGTTCGGTAATTGCTCTGTCTCTTTTACAGAACCAGGGAGACAGCAGAGACATTTTTGCACAAATTTGAAAACAGCTACAGCAGAGGTGGATGTTGTTGGGGGGCTGCAACTAAATTTTCCGATGTTGTTCTGGGTAAACCAGTACAAGTATGCTGTGCGTAATATTTTATAGCCGTTAGGCTTTCTGTGACCCTCTCTTCGTCAAAGCTCCAGCATGTCAATGAAAATGATGCTTCTGTTCTGCTATTTGAGATCAGGTCAGCTATGCTGATGCCTTGACATATGAGTGGGCTCTGTGCTTGTAGTTAAAACAGTGCTGATATAAGTGCAGAGGAAAAAATAGGCATTATAAATGATGATTTAACACGAGCAGAGAGCTGGAACTGGCAACGCACCAGAAAAGTTCACTGTTGCAGCTAACACAAGAAAAAACTGTGATGAATATGTGATATGGCTCATGTTAGTGGGAGTAAGTGGGAGGTAGAGAGACACAGGAATTAGGTTGGATCCAGTCAAGAAGAAATTTACCTCCAGGTGAATAAAAGAGGACGTGAAACCACAAAGATGAGTGGACCTGGGAAACAAAGGGGATTCTAACTCACAGCCAATTATCCACTGTGGGGAGAAGGAAAGGGTGTTTTAATGGTGAGAGGGATTTCTGGTGGGTTTGGAAAGGCCTGGCACAGGGCATGTAGTCCACATACTCACCTGCTCTTTTCCCTCTATCTTCTCATCTGGTTCTTCTTTGGACAGGTGTCTAAAAAAAAAAAACAGTCTTTACACTGACAGGTTCTTTTCTTTCTGTCTGCCAGAAAGCTGTCTTTCTCCTCTTTCCACTCTCAAAGTCCCGAGAAGATCGAATGGGAGATTGCAGGGCAAACCCTCCTGAGTGCCACAGGCATGATCGAACTTTGAAGGGGAGAATAGTAGTTCGGATCAACCCAATTCTTCTGCACAAATAGAATTTCAATCACAGCAGAGGGTGTGTAACTGCCCTGGATCAATGGATATATTGATGGCTACTTAAGTCATTTCTAGGACTGAGAGCACATGGGAGGCAACCAGCTTTGACTCTTGTTCAAGGAAATGCTTATTTCAGTCACTGCCAGAAAAGTTAGGATTGGTCAAAATCCAGTTATGCATTTTATTCTCCCCTCAGAATATAAAAAAAGCACAAAGCCAATTTGTCTTTAAATCATATATTGTATATGCCCTTGAATTTTTTTGATACAGTGTATTTTGAAGAGATCTACATTAACATTTAATGTCTCCTTTAAGGTTTAAAGTCTAAAGCATTCTTTCAGAAGGGTTTTTTGGGGGGGGAGGGGGGTATACGTAGGTATTTGATTGCCTAATTTATTATATTCGCTATCCACATTGAAGGCAAAGTTCCAACATGGAGAGATAAAAAGCTCCTTTGAAGAAATTATACCCCGTCAGAAAATGTTTGAAGATGCTGAGAGAACTTAACAAGGACAAGTTTGGGTGTCATAAAACTATCCACCAACATTTACCCAATCTTGGACAGTAACCATCTTTTTTTTTATAAATGTATCTTTACTGATAAGATGCATATAGTTAACTGGGTCTATTGAAATGTATTCTTGCCTCACTGCTAATGATCCTGTACTCTGATCTCGAAGACTGTTGAAGTTACTTTATGATCGTTTCTCATTTACTCTTGCGAGATAATGTAAAAAGGGTGACTATTGAAAGATTGCCAAAGAACAGCCTGTCCTATGTTTCCACAGGAAGAGGGCTAGGATGAGTTGCTAGTTAGGAGTGTGTTGCAAAAATACTAGGCAATGTCACTAGCGTAAGAGTAAGAACAAACATTTGGTTCAGGTACAGTTGAGGAAATATATGGAACACGAAAAAACTTTAAGGCTCAACTTTAATGTGATGCATCTTCAGCATGTTTCAGATGAGTGGTGTGGACACAGACTGGCAGGTCAACAGCAGATTATAACAACTGCAAAGCTGCCATGCAGGCCGGTATGGCGTTGTCTAGTTGGGGAAGGTACTTATCTTTTTGTGCACAGTTTTCACACAGCTGATGCTAGACCATACCCACACTACCACATTCATATTAAGAGTTATTTCTGTATGTGGACTGATAACAGCTTGTACAGCTGCATCAATCTCAGCCATTTTTTGTCTCATTCATGAATGTATCTAGGTTGTCAAATCAAGTCAATTTAAATAACCCAAAATCACACATTGCCCTCCAAGTGCTTTACAATCTGTACAGCACATTAGCCAGCAGGTAGCTTGCTGTGTCCCTACATGAGGTACCCATTCTTAATCTCTAAAACTAATATCTGATTGGTCAACGGTTTCTCCAACTGGTCGAGCATCAGTTAGCACATTAGGGACTAGAGTTACATGCTTTACATGCGCAATGAACACATCGCAAAAGACTGCCTGAAATAAGAAAAATCCTTTTATGTAGGGATGAGAACAGGAATCCGGTATTAAACGGACCCTGGAGTTAAAGACCAGAGAGTTAATTACGGCCCTGCACTTTAGTGAACAAAGTGAAAACTCAAAAATTACTTGAGATGACAACAACTACAACATCTACAACTGACGAATTGCCACGTATCTTATTATATAAAATACTGTTTTACACTGAGCTGCTGACTGAGACAAACCAGCCTCTCCTCCCTCTACAAGCACATCACATCAGAGGAGAACAGAGGAAAGAGGAATGACTGATACTCAGTATTGGTGTCAGGAATATTATTTCTTTTGGCATTTTAGATTTGTTTACAATGAGATGTAATTGAGATTTTATAGTGACAAGATCTAGTTTTATTTAAAAAATTAAATTCATATCAAGTTCTGAATTTAAAGACAACCAGGCTGACATAGGAACTGTACAGCTAATATATATCTTCAATATTTGTTTATTTATCGCAAGTCATATCGTCATAGCAATAGCGTTATTGCACATCGCAGATTTTCCTCATATCGTGCAGGCCTACATTTAAATCACTAGGCTCCTATTCTGAAGGTGTAACCAGGGCAATAAAAGCTTAATTTATCATCGTTTATTTGTTTCTGTCATGCCACTGAGGTGATACAGCATATAAAATGAGGATTAATATATACAGTATATGCTGTATACACTAAGGAGGGTATATTCCTTTGGTTCTTTGAACACCGATGACAGGCAATATAAAGTTTAGAAGCATCCAACAGAAAAAAACTCCATTGTAATTTTCCACTTTGATGTGGCTTAAGTGAATCACAACAAGCAGCCCTTTTCCTGCCATCCCACATTGAAAGGACACCAACCTCTCTCCCAGACCAAATCACTTGATGAATTGAAGTCTGCATGTAATTGGATGCAATCATTTCGCCCCCTCCCTTTCCTCTCTCGCATTCTAATGAGCTCTTAATGGGTCTTTGATTAGAAAAAGGCACGAAAACAGCTGTCAAGGCTGGCCAGGAAATGATGGATCATCCGGGAGACTTTGGTGTCCATTAAGGTCTATTCTGGGCCCAATCACTGGTAGGTGAGAAGATGAAAAGAAACTTTCATTATATTTAGTTTCTACCAAGACAATACCCTGTGGAACAATGATCACTTCAGTCTTCAAAGTGACAGGTGGCTGTTGAACAACAAGAAGAGTCAAGTCTGAGCATGCCAATATTGTGTTGATAGATAACTCACTTTCTTTTCTTTTTTACTAAGCCAAAATTGTATTTTCACACGTGTTATATATATATATATACACACTACAGTGGCAAAAGGCAGCATGTCCGGACTTCACAATATAAGACCTC